TTTTTTTTTGCATCCTATGGCTTGCATTGTCGTATACACGTTTAATTGATTCGTTTTACTCTTTATGTTGTTTCAGCCGTTTATATAGGAATTTGCATCAAAGGACCCTATATTTTTGTGTTTCCACACACATGATATATTTCGTTGATTGAGGTGGATACGTAGTGTGATATTGCCAGTTTGTGTCTCGTCTTGTTTGTCTAAATTTTTGTTGTCTACTTGCTCGTTTCTTCTTAAGTTTACGGTTTCATGAATCGTCGCATGTTTGTTATGTTGTATACGTTATGTATAATTGGTGCAACCGGGTGCACTGAGAAGTTCAACATGTACAGTAATTATGTGCAACCGACACTAGTAGTGTATATGGGTTTTTTTTGGCTATTTGTTATGATTATATGTGACATATAGGCGGTGCAACCGCATACACAGAACGGTGCATGTTGTTTATTAATTATGTGCAACCGGAAGCAGTAATGTATATATGTTTCTGTATGATATTGTGCGTGATGCCATGATCGTTATGGATATGTATTGTGATTTTATCAGATTGTATATTGTATTTTTTTGTCTTGATCGTCGTTGTATACTTGCTCGTTTACTTTATAATTATATGTTTCTTCAAATTGTTAGTTATTTGTTATGCTTTATATGTGATGGATAATCGGTGCATCCATATACACATAATGGTGCAGACTGTCTAGTAGTTACGTGCAACCAGTACCAGCTCTATATATGTGTTTTTCATACGATATCGTGCGTGTTACTATAATTGTGTGTGTTTCTGATTGATTTATCTGATTTTGTTTTCTCTATTTTTTGTTTGTATTTTTCGTAAAACAAGATTTTGTTCAAGAATTTGCATCAAAAGCCCGTATTCTTGCCACTACGGGTGTTGAAATTTTACAGCTGGTCGAGAGGGCGCCTAAAGATTTATTAGGCGATGAGAATTTTATGAAGATGCGGGGTGCCACACAGAAGCTACTTGGGGTGTCTAATGAAGACGTAAAAGGAAAGTCTAGTCAACAAAATCCCAGCTGCAATGACGAACCTACCACTCCGGGACCAACACAGTTAGTGGATGACGCATTCTGGAACGACCCCAAGACTTTGGCTGCCTTAGATGCTATTATCGATGCTGTTGCGCATCGAGACCGTTTTAAACGGATTCATCATGAAGGTCCCAGTTTTAGCTTGGGCTTGGGACTTTCACCGGATGATGAGGATGCTGATGCAGGACGTTTCAATAGTGTCAACGAATTCACTACTGACTGTCCTTCCAATGTAGATGTGTCATCAGGTACTTTGAGTCAATTAGTTCACGTTTATAACTAACTCATCTGATTGTTGTTGTATACATGTGTTTGATGACATCCATTTTTTTTACCTTTTTCCTCTTTCTCTTTTCTTTTCAAGCTGATCGCGATGCGGTGGTTAATGAACCGGTCGCTGATACAGTTCCTGATTCCGTGCAAGGTATAAACGGTATACATTGTATATATTCAATATTTTTATATTGTTCGTTTTGGTTGTATTTAAGTGCTTCGTATGTGTTGACTAGGTGTCGGTGGTGATGCGATTGTTGATGATCCTATTGTTGATGCTGGTAGACCAAAAAGGAGTCCCAAGTTTTCCAGCATAGTTAAATCACCTTTCCAGCAAAGGTATATTGACGTGGTCAAGAGTCTTGACAACCAGAAAAAGACGGTCGTTAACTGGGTTTTGCAAAAAGATAACGAGTAAGATATATGTTGTGTCATTGTGTTATTCTTTTTATGTAATCAACTTTATTATCCATTGTAATTATTTATTATGTTTTTTGTTGTGTTGATATTATTTTTATACACAGCGATGTGATTATATATCAGTCCTTGTCCCTTGATTATGCGGTGAAGAGAGATGTGGTGGCCTGCTTGGCACCGAACACGCCAATCCCCGAGGCACTTATTGATCTGTGGGCTCGTATAATGAACAGCAATGAAAAGCTCGGGAGTCGTGGCTCAGTAGCATGTTTCTTTGCAACCACTCGTCCGTGTAATGAGGTACATTGTGATATATTTATGATGTATTTGAAGCATACTTATGACATTTGATCTACTTCGTTGTTTCAGTAATACTTACGACAAAATTTTGTGAATATCAGCTATTTTTTAAGGGAAAGAGAAAGAAGGACATAAATTACAAAAAGTTTGTGGAGAGGCTAGATTCAGACATTGGTCGAATGTGTGGACATAACTGGAAGAAAGTTGCATTGGTATCTCGAATTATTGCATTTTAGATCTTGATTATAATGAGTTGTGTTACATTATAACCATCTGGTCCTTTGTTTGAATTACAGTACGTGTTTCCCGTGCACTCTGGTGGTTTTAGTGGGCTGATTTGCATTTTCCCGGGCAACCAGAAGTTGTATATCTTGGATAGCGCCGACTTTTGTAAAGATGCATCCATCAAGATATCCGTTTCGTCCCATGCTAGTATTTTGGTAACGGTTATATTCACATGTAGAAAGTTACTTATTTTCTTTGTCATGTGATGTCTTTGTTTTGTTTTTGTCCTTTTGTTGTTTCTTTATTTCATTTTTCACATCTTCGTGTTACATGACAATATGCGTATTCGTTGCAGCGGCAATCACTCGCACAGTACATGGCACACCCGAGTAGGTCGAAATCTTCAAAAGCGGTCGCACTATCGATCCCAGAATTTGTTGATCTGTCGTGGACTGAAGGTGTCAATGTTGTAGATGCCGACGTCGTAACAATGCGTCACATGGAGACTTTCAAAGGACGTGCTACGCCACATTGGAATCCAGACGTGAAGAGAGCTGACAAGAGGCAGATTGACCTCATGAGGAAGCGATACTGCTACGTCATTGCGTTTGCTTCATTTAACAAGCTGAAAGACGAGAACCTTGCTCAATCAAAGAGGTTCCAGTTGAAGAAATGTGATGTTGTGTGATGGGTCATATGTGTCGTTGTTGTTTGGACACATTAGTCGTATTGTTGACATGTTTTGTTTTATTACATATATGCGTAGGACATGACGCTTGGTACTTCCGTCGCTTAATGTTTGCTTCTAGCACTGTTGTTTTGGATGAATACACTAGTATTTTGCTATGATTTGCTTTTGTCGTTTCTTGGTATGTTAGTGCGATAATATATATATATATATATATATATATTATATATATATATTTGTTTATTTTGTTTTGTTGGGATTGACAGACTTTATGCGATTACATAATCGTACGAAGAAGTTGTTTTCGATTAAGGGTTTGTGGATTATTGGACGGCGTTGTCGACATTACGCGTGGTGAGCGTCGATAGAGTGCGGCATTTAATTCCGTAAAGTGCAACAGATTGCGGTATATCGTGCAACGGTCCAATGTAAAAAGTGCATCATCATATTATATTCGGAAGAAATGCTTAGGTCAGATGTATGATTGTTGCGATGTCAAATGTTGCAATAACATCCAATTATAGTGTATTTACGTAAGCAAATACATGTTTGTATAGGTCGTTATATTGAATGATTTCGTAATTGTGTAATCATAGCGGATGAAAAAGAGCAGCCATGCGTTCACAGAAGTTCGACGTAATGTTCATAAAAGTGTAACGTAGTATCAAAAAAATATGCAATATACATATTGTATTCGTGGTTGACGTGCACACAAAATACCATATAAACGTCCCATCGGCACACATATTAATTAGTCAATACCATTGAAAAAGACAATCAAAATGACTGACGTCTGTCGTAAAATTCACGGCAACACACGAGTGCTACATAGAGCAATATTCGTTAAACATACTACCATATGTCTCTACATTGTCCCTGAGTAAAAAATAAAATTTAACAAAAAAAAAAAAGATCGTTAAACCGTTAAACCAAACGATCAAGATGAATACAATCATCCACTTGTCGTCTCGCTTGTCGCCTGTGCCTGCATTATATATATATATATATGTTAACATTAAGTCATCGCATTTAATATGCCCTACACTATTGTATGAATACACAAATATATGGCTAACGCGTATCGATATGGGATGTTGACACATGTATATAGATGCATGTCGTAGAAGAGTTATAGTATAGGAACGTATATGCGTGATTTGTAAATTATTGCACATGTAGACATCAACATATACGTCTAATACCTATGCTAGATTATCAGATTAATATTTGTTCATCTACCTCGGTGGGATTTGATTGGTATGCATGTTGCTTCTTGGGACACGTACGTGCGTTATGGCCAGCCATTTCACCACATGACTTGCACATCCTTCTTTTCTTTTGCGACCCTTCAATCCCCTTCTCCTTCGCACTTTTTAGTCTCTTACCGCTACCTTTGTTCTTGGATTGTGTCGGAGGGTGAATGTTCACCTCTTCAGGAGCGGACATGCCGACAAATGATTCAAATTGGTGTTCTTTCCCAATGTTCATAGCATCTGCAACATCTCATGTTGATCAGCAGCATAAATTATATTTTTTTATAAAGTGCAATGATGTGTTTCATATTGTGCAAAACGAATATATATAAAGTGCAGTATTGTATCTTATATAGTGAAAATTCTTAGGTGTGCTTTACCAGTGATTGATGTGTCCCCTGTTTGAGCAGACATTAGCTTAATCTTGTATGCTTCAACGATTTTGAAAAAATCAATGAGGTGATCGACACAGGGCTCGGCTAATCCAATGCATATATGTATATCCGACCATAGTTTGTTCAACAAACGCTTTATATCATCGGCTTGGG